CAAAGAAATTGTTAAATAGGTTAGCTTTGTCATCTGGTGCGATGACCAGATTTCCTAGTGTGTCTTGCAGAGGCCCCACGTTACCCAGTACCTTCTTTTTGCCCCCTATGTATTTAAAAAAGGACTTCTTGTTGTCCTTGATCCAGGTAGCTAGTCCCAGTTCCATCTCCGCCTTGGCCTTCCTGCCCGCCCCCCTACAGCCCTGAGCAACCAAGGTATAGTCCTCCCTGATGATGGCCGCTACCTTCCATTGGGTGTACGCCTCCTTTTTAGCTAGGAGACGTTCCTGTATGCTTTTGGTGAGCCATGGGGGCTTTTGTGCCCTCTTGCCCCCTTTGATCTGTGTTGGGATGACCTGTCTTTGGGCTTGGAGGATCATCTCCTTAAGGAACGACCACTCTTCTTGGACACCTGACTCCTCTCCCCTCCAGGACCTCAGTGCCTCCCTGACTATTCTCCTTACCCCATTGAAATCCACCCTCCTGAAGTCCAGGGCTACTGCCTTGCTGCAGTCCTTTGCCACCTTGCACTGGATGGTGAATTCCAGCAGGCAATGATTGCTGTCGCCCAGGTGGTCGAGCACCCGCAGACCCCTCACCAGGTTGTCGCCCGTGGCCAGGACCAGGTCCAACAAGGCGTCTCCCCTGGTGGGGCTGTGCATCTTCTGGGTTAGATGGAGGTCCTGTATCTCAGCTAGGAACCTAGGTGAGCGGTCAGACCTGGCTGACTGCTCTTCCCAGCAGATGTCTGGAAAGTTCAGGTCACCCATGATGACCACGTCCTTTGACCTAACCACCTCCGTGAGCTGATTTAAGAATTCCCGGTTTAGCTCTTCCCCTTGGTTGGGTGGTCTGTAGTAGACCTCCACCGTTAAGTCCCTTTCCCCTCAACTTACTGTTATGAGGTATGGGTTGAGATGGGCTTGTTCAACTGAAGCTAACTGGACAGCACTGTGCACAACTGATAAAGGCCCCTGGATGGGTCTGACTCCAGCACTGGGGTGCCCTACAGGGCTCCTCTCCCCTCAGCAGCTAGAAACCCCCCCGACAATGACTCTGCTTCCTTACGTGGGCCCAGTATTTCAGTTCCAAGATTCTGAGGAGGCCAAAGTCATCCTGGTCCATTCTGGGAACAGCCCAACCTATAACTTTGCAAAGCAAAGCAAACCAAACCAATGTAAACCTGTGGGAGATGGGGAACATTTATTGCTACAGCCTCTGGGCTCTTCCATTGTGGGGGTAGAGGGCTGAGGGCACTGGCATTCATGGAAACACATTGGCTATCTCTGATAGGGCATAGTGGGCTGTTTATAGTGCTCAGGACTAGCAGCACCTGGAGCCTGAGCCTTGCTCAGCTGAGGGATTTACCAACAACATGTGCTATATTAACCTGCAAGCTAGGGCCCATCTAACCAGGCAAGTAGCAGCCCACAAGACAAGCTCTAGCCCAGGGAGCTTGGGGCTGGTAGGTGCTCAGGGAAGTGTTGCCAATTTTTCACAGAATAAGGAAGTTTGGGACCCCAAAGTTTGCTCTCTAACAGTCCCAGCCCAGGGGATAAAAAGAAACTGTGCTTGGTCTCTCCCTGGAGGCCCTGGCTTCACTGCAGTGCTAGGAGGGAGCTGAGCAGGCAGAAACAGCCATTTGTAGAGGGTTGCAGGGGCAGTGGGATGGGAGAGTCCAAGTTGGAGAAGGACACTCCTCTCCCCGCCCATGTCCAGACCAGTGTACCCAGCACAGAGGGGCAAGCTGACATCACTTGTCCCCACTGGCCTTGTGTCAGAGCTGTTCAGCTAATCTCTGGCTCAGCATCTGCTTCCTGTTTCCTTTCCAATCTTTGCTTGGGAGGGTGGCTACCTCCTTCTGAAGCCAAACAGGAAACGTGTCCAGTTGTGCCTTGCAGGAGCCCCTCTCCCCCAAGCTGCTGCCTCTCAATCAGGATCTGATTTTCTTAGTTCCTCAACTTCTCCAGCGGTCCTCTCCACCTGACATGACCCACAGTCACCCCATGTTTACACCCAGTAGCTCAATGCGCAGGTGCTGTTTGGCTGGTGAAGCACACTTTCCTGTTTGTGAAACAGGAAGCCCAGCTGTGACTCATCAGTTACTAAGAAAAAGCCACATCAGATTCCTGACTGAGACCCATGGGACACCTCGTAGCACTCTTAGTTTCTCCAGACCTTGGGACACCTTGTTGGGCTCCTGCCTGCCTTCTCCTGGCTCATAGCTGCCAAGGTCCGTGCAGTTCTGAATAATATTTTATGTGGATTAAAGAAATAGTTAATTTGCATACATGCACACAATTTGCTTGTGAACATAAATTCTGATTCTAACTAACTGTGGACTCAACTGGATTCACAGTGGTGACTGGAAGATGAAAATACCCACAGCCCAGTTGTGATTCTGTGATGCAGCCAGTCCTCAGCAAGCTCTGATGCTATACCTCAGAGAATAAATCAGCGGATTTCTGGAAAGAAGAATGACTTCAACCACATCCCAGTCTCCTTACTAGACACAGGTACATGCTGAGCTCAGTCTTCCCAAATTAAATGCAGTAATATGGGCCCAGCTAATTTTCAAGGGAGCAAGAAAGAAAATGCTACAGACAGTGATTAGCATAATGTTGAAGGTTGCCTCTAACTATAGTGCTTTGCTGTGGGGCAGCTCTTCAGAATCCTCACCTGTGTATATATTTCCTTCCACAGATGAATTGTCAGACAGGCTGGAACCCACAACCTGTAGATCTACACCCCAGAATTCTAGTACCTGGACTAACAGCTCATAGAAAACTGCTTTTGCCATTGAGCTGCAAACAAATCTTTATCATTTGGCTCTGTAACTACCTGTGAGCTAACAACAGAATGGGCCATGGTAGGCTTGTGGCCCGAACAGGCAAAGATGCCTCCAACCCACCGGGCAGAAAAGGCTGATGGGGGTTTTAGGGAGGTTGGAGCATCAAACAAGAGGATAAAGGGATTTGGGTAGAAAGGGGCTCAGGGGAGGGAGCACAGAGCCCTGGAGCCTGGAAAAGGGAATTCTACCCATGCAGCTCCCCCTGGAGATGGGTCCTGGGGTCCCTGGGCAAGGGTCATTTCAATATGTGCAAGTTGCCTCTGCTGGACCTCTTACTGCCTCTGCTAGGCCCTGTGCTGCCTCTGCTGGGCCCTGTATGCCCAACCTAGCATGCAGGGCTATGCTATTCACCCTTCGGGGCTCTCCATTGGTCTGGAAATTTGGCAGCAGGGGAGTAGTAATTGCCACTGCTCCCCCACTGCCAAATTTTCAGACCCATGAGGAGCCCTATGGGCCAGATGACATGGCTCTGCTGGCCAGATGTGGCCCCAATGGCGTGGTCTGATCTTTGGGCTTTGATGAATGCCTCCCCCTGTTTGTTCCATGAAGGACACTGCACCCTGCCCCACATGCACCATATGCACAGAGCAGTCTGGCCCCCATGCAGCTGCTGGTCCTATGGAGCTCCCAGCAAGTCTGAGTCTTTCCGTGCACCCGCCTCTACCCCCGATGCCCCAGCTAGCCACTGACTCCCACTGTCCCTCCCCACCCAGCACTCTGCAGTTGTCCCCTTTACGCTGTATCAGCCCTGCACCTGTAAGCCTGGCCCCCCCTTTCCACCTGGCCTGGCAGCCTCAGCCCCCTCTAGCCTCTGCCCAGGGCTGGTGGTGAAGGAAGAGGAGTGGACTGACTCACTGTTCCTGGAAGGAGGAGAGAGAAGACAGACCTGTGTCCGAAGGAAGGAAGGGGAGAGGGCAGAGCATGTGGCAGGAGCAGACTGATCCAATGTTTACAGGAAGGAGGCAGGGGCCACATCTATACAAGATGCTGGCAGTCATTTAGTACTTATTTATGTACTGCATAGCCAGAGTTACTGCACAGTTGAGTTGAGGAACAGCTTTTTCGTGACACTGACAGTGCAGTAGCCTGAGACTGCTGTGCAGTAGCATCACATCATGCTTTCTGCCACGTGACACTACTGCACAGTAGTCGCAGGTTACTGCTCAGTCAGTGTCGTGTGTGGCGGGCTCCCCACTTTTGCCCAGCAAGCCTAGCTTGCAGAAGGACACTTCAGATTGCTGGAACATTTCCACTGATAGCTGCCCCGCTTGCCCTGTCCCTGCTTGGAGGGGGGGGGAGGAGCCCCTGGACGTGATTGAAGACTGTGCTTTGCCAGGCTGGACTTCAGGGTGGGGCCTCCAGTGTAAATAAAAGCCCAGTGTGCTCGGCACACTGGGCAGATGTGGCGAGGGACAGTGAGGAGAGAGGAGCTCTGGAGAAGACTGTCATTGGGACCCCACCTGATCCTCGACAGTGCGTGGAGTGGCACACAGAGAGCCATTTCTGGGAGCAGCTCGAGGCTGCTCGGGCCCCACATGATGCACCGGTCAGCATACAGAGAGCCGGTCTAAGGAGCAGCTCAAGGCTGCTCAAGTTAGCCCGGCTCTAGGCTGGGTAACCGAAGCCCCGCAGAGTGACTCAGCATTAAACTAAAAGAGCCCCAGTGCCCAGAGGAGGGCCAAGAAAGGGGAAAGACCCCTGGTATGATGCTGTGGAACTGTAGCCAGTGAGGCTCAGCTCCCATAGGAGCTCCCTGGGTGCCCAGCCCAGGGCCCAGAGGGAAAGGCCCTCAACTTGAGGCCAACAGCTCCACAAGGCCTGAGGCAGTGTGGGCACCCAGAGGCCAGATCAACAGTTCCCAGAGGAAGGACTGTGAGTTACCGGGAACCCGGGTCCTGCAGGGGAGGCGCCCTCGGGCAAGGGACCTTGGGAGGAGTGGGCAGGGGGGAAGGCCTCACACATCTTCCACTCTCCAGGGTCAGAGGGTAGGAGACCCCAAATATACACTGGGAAGGGTTCTGTGAAACACCCAGACCCTATCCCATTTGAGGAACCAAGTGGTTGGAACCCAGATAGGGTGCTCCCAATATCTAGTTTAGTTATGTTTTTTTTTATTTGGTATTTATTGTTATTGTTGGTGTTATAAATTGTTGGGTGCATTAATTCTGTATAATTAATGGCGGGATAGAACGGGGAGGAAAGGTGGGGGTGTGGCACTGTACGTCAAAGAGCAATATACATCCTCAGCTAACAGGATGGGGTCATAGGAGGGGCAGACTGAAGTGCTCTGGGTCAGAATACATGGGGGTCATGAGGAAAGGGACTTAACGGCAGGGGCCTACTACAGACCACTCAACCAAGAGGAAGAGCTGGACCATGAATTCTTGGGTCAGCTTGCAGAGGCAGTTAAGTCAAGGGATGTAGTCATCGTGAGTGATCTAAACTACCCAGACATCTGCTGGGAGGAGCAGTCAGCCAGGTCTGACTGCTCATAAAGGTTCCTAGCCAAGATACAGGACCTCCACCTAACCCAGGAGGTGCACAGTCCCACCAGGGGGAATGCCCTGCTGGACCTGGTCCTGGCCACAGGCAATGACCTGGTGAGGGAACTCCAGGTTCTTGACCACCTGGGCGACAGTGATCATCACCTACTGGAATTCACCATCCAGCGCAGGGTGTCAAGGGTCTGCAGCAAGGCAGTAGCCCTTGACTTCAAGAGGGCCAACTTCAGTGAGTTGAGGAGATTGGTAGGAGGGGCACTTTGGTCCTGGAGGGTAGGGGAACTGGGTGTCCAAGATGAGTGGTCTTTCCTTAAGGAGACGATTCTCTGAGCCCAAGGGGTGACAGTCCTAATGAGAATCAAAGGGAGTGAGAGTGCTCAAAAGCTCCCTTGGCTCACCAGAGGCATTCAGGAATGCTTGAAAGTCCAAAAGGAGACGTACACCCAGTGGAAGGGAGGGGCTATCACCAAAGAGGAGTATACCTCCATTGCTTGGGTCTGTAGGGGGGCTGTTAGGAAAGCTAAGGCAGATACGGAACTAGGGCTAGGATCAAGGACAACAAAACATCTTTTTTTAAATACATAGGGAGAATGAAGAAGGCACCGGGTAACGTGGGGCCCCTGCAGGATACGTTTGGCAATCTGGTGGTTGCACCGGAGGAAAAGTCAGACCTTGTTAACAAATTCTTTGCCTCCGTTTTTTTGTGCAGGGACCAGGACATCTCCCCCACCGGGATTCAGGACGGACTCAGGAGAGACTCTGCCAGGCCTAGAGTCAGGGAGGACCGAGTTAGGGAACTTCTGGAGGGGCTGGACATGTTCAAATCAGCAGGTTCAGATGCTCTCCACCCCAGGGTGCTGAGGGAATTGGCAGGGGGCATCATGGGCCCCCTGGCACAGCTTTATGAGCACTCGTGGTGCTCTGGCCAGGTGCCAGAAGACTGGAAGAAGGTCAATGTGGTCCCCATTTTCAAAAAAGGGAGGAGGGAGGACCTGGGCAACTATAGGCCCGTTAGTCTTACTTCGGTCCTGGGGAAGCTCTTTGAGAGAATTATCCAGGAATACATCTGGGAAGGACCAGCAGAGGGGATGATGCTTGGGGGCAACCAGCATGGGTTCATTAGGGGCAGGTCCTGTCAGACCAACCCGATTGCCTTCTATGACTAGGTCACAAAATCATTGGACGCAGGTGTCACGGTGGATGTAGTCTTTCTGGACTTCAGGAAGGCCTTTGACACTGTCTCCCACCCCATTCTCATTAAAAATCTAGGTGACTGTGGCATTGATGCCTACACAGTCAGATGGATCGCAAATTAGCTGAGGGGCCGCATGCAGAGAGTGGTGGTGGACTGGTCATATTCAACCTGGAGGGATGTGAGCAGTGGAGTCCCCCAGGGCTTGGTAATCAGGCTCGTACTGTTCAATTTCTTTATCAGTGACTTGGACGAGGGGGGTGAAAAGCACCCTGTTCAAATCACTGACAACACCAAGATTTGGGGTGAGGTGGGCATGCTAGAAGGGAGAGACAGGATACAACTGGACCTGGATAGGTTACAGGGGTGGGTGAATGTGAATAGGATGGGATTCAATACTGACAAGTGCAGGGTACTGCACTTGGGCAGTAAGAACCAGCAGCATACCTACAGGCTGGGGAACTCCCTTCTCGAAAGCACAGTGATAGAAAGGGATCTTAGAGTCATTATTGATTCCAAAATGAACATGGGCTGCCAATGTGAGGATGTGGTCAGTAAGGCTAACTGCACCTTGTCATGCATCCACAGATGCATCATGAGCAGGGCCAAGGAGGTGATCCTCCCCCTCTATGCAACACTGGTCAGGCCACAGTTGGAGTACTGTGTCCAGTTCTGGGTGCTGCACTTTAGGAAGGATGTGGCCAGCATTGAGAGGGCCCAGAGGAGGGCCACTCGCATGATCTGGGGACAGTAGGGCAGACCCTATGAGGAGAGGCTACAGCACCTGAACCCTAATGAACCCATGCTGGTTGCCTCTTCACAAGAGAAGGCTGAGAGGGGACCTGGTGGCCATCTATAAACTTACCAGGGGGGACTAGAGGGGAGTGGGTGAGACCCCGTTCCCCCGAGCACCTCCCAGAGTAACAAAGAATAATGGCCACAAGTTGTTTGAGAGTAGGGTTCAGGCTGGACATTAGAAGGCACTACTTCACAGTTAGGGCAGCTAGGATCTGGAACCAACTTCCAAGGGAAGTGGTGCTGGCTCCTACCTTGGGGGTCTTTAAGAGGAGGCTAGATAGTTACCTAGCTGGGGTCATATGAGCTCAAATCTACCAGGGGCCATATGAGCCCAGTATTCATTCCTGCCTAGGGCAGGGGGTCGGACTTGATGATCTACTTAGGTCCCTTCCAGCCCTACATCTATGAAACTATGAAACTATAATAAGTTCTGTAAGGATGTCTTTATTAGCTAACCCACTTGTGGTATAAACTTGCTGGATTGACTATCCTGGGATCCACCCCCTCTTCTGGACCTGAGGCATAGGTACTTACCTGAATGCCCTCCCCGGGGCAGACTTCCTCTTGCTAACAGACCTTTATATGAATATTTGTATCTATATCTATGAAACTATGAAACTATAATAAGTTCTGTAAGGATGTCTTTATTAGCTAACCCACTTGTGGTATAAACTTGCTGGATTGACTATCCTGGGATCCACCCCCTCTTCTGGACCTGAGGCATAGGTACTTACCTGAATGCCCTCCCCGGGGCAGACTTCCTCTTGCTAACAGACCTTTATATGAATATTTGTATCTATACCTGTTACTGTATCTATCTTAAATGGTTTTATATATAAATGTTTGTAACTCAATAAATTGTATATAGTTAAGAACTTTGGGCCTGGGCTAACTCTATAGAGGAAAGAGGGATTCGCCCGAAGTTCCAGCATCCCTCTCACAGCACCTCCTACTGCCTACCCATCTCATCTGACTGAGAATAGGGCACACCCTTGGGTGTACCCAGGTTACACTTTTGTAGGCATGGCCAGCAGGGAGCTTCAGCTGCTGGCTGTGTCTGCGGTCTCTCCCCTACAGCCTGGTGAGAGCCTGTTTGCTCCCCCAACTTCTTCTCCCTGCCCAAGATCTCCCTGGCCTGCCTTTTGCCACTGTCCCAACTGACTGTCCTCCTCTAGGGGTAGGGCAGTGATACTGACAGCCAATCAGAGGCAGAGATGATGTCACTAGAATTGGAGCTTTCTCCCCACTGTCAGCTGCTGCAGCTGGGGCATGTGCTGTAATGTAGAGCTCTTAGTGTTAGCAGCAGGGATGCTATACAGCAGGGGTCACTGTCATAACCCAAAGGTATGATTTTGTGTGTGCTTTGGCACTAGAATTATACCCGCTAAATTGCAGCTTCGTTGCACGGTGGAGTTTTCTGCTGCAGAGGAGAACCCTGGTGCAAGGGAGAATTTCCCGCCAATTTGT